ATGAAACATTGCCATGAACATAGTCCTATAATTTACATTGAGTCAAAGCCGACAAAGCCTCTGAGTCAGAAATCAGTAATTACCCTACTAGTATTACCTTAAACGTTGTCTGCTCATTCCAATTAACTTAGTTCGAAATGTCAGCGTAAATTTCAAATATAACCGTTTGCAGGAAGGGAGAGGAAACAAGTACTTTTTCATTAGTTAGCCAGTCAAAACAGTTCTACCACAATGAGGAAAAGCCATTCTCGATAGATAAGCCACAGAAATCGTCGGTATCTTCTTGGGCATCAATAAGTTTCTAATGGCTTTTTATGGATTTCACGATATTGGAATTGTTTTCTTGCTTATGCTCAAAACTGTGTCTTAGTTTTCGGCAACAAACTCAACAGAAAAAGTGAAAGTAACAGATAACCTGTACGGTCACGGTACACGTTGATGGGCAAAAAAATTCGACCGGTGCTTTACACTCAGGAGGAAAGCGACAGGAAATTTCCTTCGATTGCCAAAAAGACAGCAAGCTAGTGAGCGATGAATGGCATTACTGACTTTCGGTAAGTTTCAGTTCGAGTGTGGATAAGAAAGTGGTTTTATCCAGTGTTCGGCTTTCTTGACTGTCTGCGTGCAAGATTACGGTATTACGGATGAGCAGGACGAGAGAATTTTCAATCCAAGTGTTTTTTGTTGCCATTACGTCCTGCTAGACTGTATTAGTCCGTAGCTTTTTCATGTCGATGCCACTGGTTCAGGATATTCGCTTGATGCAGTAAATGTCGTTCTTGTGAAACGCCGAGAAGAAGAATGGGCCGGCAAAGGATAGTGTGGGAAACACACAGGTGAAAACATTTTTTTATAACTTTGCGACTTCTAGACCTGCCGACGCCTACGTAAAAAAGTTGCAGAGTTTAAGGGTCTTTCCTCTCACCCGTTTTACATATCAAGACCAAGGTATCTTGTTGCTGATGGTGAGGTCGAGGTGCATCTATGTCGCAGCGACTAGCGGCTCTGAGTGAACGATAGCTAGATGTTGAGCAGCCAGGGTTGATAAAAGATGACTTATGGATGATCTGGAAAAAATTAATTCCATGCACTTAGATGGGTTGATTTTCAGTGCAGGTGTAGTGCATGTACTTACAGTGAATCTGAGAGGTCACCCGGCGTTTTACAGATTTTGAGTATGTACGTTGGTGTAAACCAATGTCAGAGTTGTCGGTAGTTCCAATTGTAACATCTGGCCGAAAACCAAGGTAGAGCGTTTGTAAATAAGAGGTCAAG